CAACAGCCTGTAATTGCACCACCCTTCAGAGCAACCTTTGACGGGGACCCAGAGAAGCTGATTTTTTTTCTCAACCAAGTGCGTTCTCACTTGAATTGCTGGGCCTATCTCTATCCGGACCCAGGTGCCATGGTTGATGTTATTGCGTCCAGCCTAGAGGGAGAAGCATCTGAATGGCTGAACAATTTATATAGTGAACAAGCCCCCGAACTGGAAGATCCCCACTTTTTCCTCCTAGGGCTGAGAGAAAGATTTGAGGACCCATCCATTGGCCTCAAAGCAGCAGAACAGATCCACAAAATAAAACAAGCAGGCAGGCCTGCCCTGGAGTATGTGCGAGAGTTCCGCAAGATAGCAGGTCGAATAGAGGGGTGGCCTGAGCAATCCCTAATCCATCACTTCATTGAGGGATTAGACAATCACCTCTCTCAGGCCTGCATCTATCGGGCAGTACCTGATCAGCTACAAGAGTGGTACCAGACAGCGGTGAAGCTAGACATTAAGTTCACTCGCTATAAGAAGCCTCCCTCACCTGAAATTGAACCGAAACCAGAACGACCCAGATGACAACCACCCCCCTGGAAATCCCCAACAGCTACGTCTACCGAAAGACCCAGGCCACCTGCAGACCCGCCAATCACGTGCTTCCGATGCGGACAGCAGGGACATCGAGCAGCGAACTGCCCAGTTCCCTATCCCCAACAGCAGAGCAGACCGAGACCCGCAACGAAGAAGAAATCTGATCAGCAGCCAGAGAGAGGAAAATCCAATTGGATCACACAGGAACTGGTTGCCCAAGTCACATCCCCCACACAGGAGGATGCCAAGACTAAGGCTGGATCCTTTCCCGCTCTACCCTCTCTCGACAGCGATGACAAGGAGAGAACGACCCAATGGTGAGTCGACAAATCCCGCCTTTTTCACTAGCCGCCAAACTTATAATCCCTAAATCGGGGGTACAAATTAACTTAAACGTGCTAATTGATTCTGGATGCACCCAATGTATTATTAGCTTACCCTTTGTCATGAAATTGGGCATATGAGCAAAATTGCTCTCCAAACCCATGAAGTTTGAGCAAGCCGATGGCTCCCTCATGGGAGGGACTCTTGTCACGCAATTAACTGAGCCCCTATGCCTAGAAATAGGTGAGCACTGGGAGTTTATTCGCTTCCTGGTGCCTCCAAAAATGACTGAGGCGGTGATACTAGGGCTAGCCTGGTTGGACAAATAGAAGCCGTTTATCTGGTGAGAGAAAGAAATGAGAACTGTGAGACTACCTATAGGGCCTAATCCCCCCATTGATTCAACCGATGTTGGGGGGCACCTTAGGCCACCCAATGAACGAGCACACATGGCTGCCTCACCGCCACCAGATGAACCACTCATCCCCAATGACTACTGGGACCTGGCAGAGGCATTTAGTGAAAAAGAATGTGATGCCCTACCCCCTCACAGACCTAATGACTGCTCCATCGAACTGGTGCCAGGAGCCAAACTCCCACGGCCGAGAATGTATGCTATGTCCCCCCTCGAAATGGAGGAGATGCAGCGATACCTGAACAAAAACCTAGCGAGGGGATTCATTGAACGTGCCAAATCCACCGTGGGAGTCCCTGTGTTGTTCAAAGAGAAAAAAGATGGGTCTCTTCGTTTCTGCGTAGACTATAAGGGTCTCAACACTGTGAGTGTGGAAAATAAATACCCCCTCCCCCTTCTAAAGGACTTATTAACCCATCTGGCTAAGGGGAGTGTCTTCACTAAATTAGATCTGAGAGAGGCATATTACCGGGTAAGAATAAAAGAGGGAGACGAGTGGAAAACTGCCTTCAAAGTCATGCCATTTGGACTACAGGGGGCCCCAGCCATATTTATGCAGTTGATTAATGAGGTCCTACATGATCACTTGTACAAAGGGGTTTTAGTTAATGTTGATGATATCCTGATATACAGCACGAATATGACTGATTACATAAAGCTGGTGAGAGAAGTATTAAAGAAACTATTGAATGCCAAGCTTTATGCCAAATTGCCGAAATGTGAATTTTACCAGACCCGATTAGACTATCTTGGCTACAGAATTTCCAACGAGGGTATTGAAGTGGATCCAGCCAAGGTGAAAGCTATAATCGAAAGGCAGCCCCCAAAGACTCGCAAACAGCTCCAGAGCTTTCTGGGTTTTGCCAACTTTTATCGTCAATTCATCCCCTCTTTTGCCGAGATTGCCCTACCCCTTACAGAACTACTCAAAACAGGCAAAGGAGGAGGGAAGCCATGACCGGGCCAACCACTAGCATGGATAATGGGCTGTCAAGCAGCTTTTGAGAATTTAAAGAGACTATTTGCTGCTGAACCGGTCCTAAAGCACCCCTGCCCAGGGGAGCCCTTTGTGATTCAAGCCGATGCCAGCGATGTGGCAGTTGGAGCTGTGTTACTGCAAAAGAACAAAAGTGGGGTCCTGCAACCCTACGCCTACACCTCTAAGAAATTTACTGAAAGCGAGCAGAGATGAGCAATCTGGGAGAAAGAGGCCTTTGCGATTAGGTGGGTGCTATTAAACTGGCGACACTATCTAGAAGGGAGCAAGGTGCCATTTGAAGTCTGGACAGATCACAAAAATCTAGAAGCACTGAAAACTCCCCGTAAATTGTCCCCAAAGCAAGTGTGGTGGGCATAGTACTTTAACCGCTTCAACTTTACTCTAAAGTACATACCAGGAGGAAAAGACTTCCTAGCTGATGCGCTATCCCGGCTACCCCAATACAAAAGCGAATGGAAGGAGATTAACGAGGCTATTATCCCCAATCCACAAACTGCCACTCAACTTACACCTCGCAGGGTCCCCAATCCTGATGACCCTGGGGTAAAGAAAATAAAACGAGAGCTCCTCACCGATCAATGGTTCAAAGATAATCAAACCTCCCTAACGTGCAGGGATGGCTTGGCTTACAAAAGGGGGAAACTATATCTGCCCAAAGTCCTCCGTCTTAATGCTCTCAAACACAGCCGTGATGTAAAACAGGCTGGACACTTTGGATATTTGAAAACCCTACACCTCACCCGCCGGCAATTTTGGTGGCCGGGGTTGAAAAAGGATGTGGAAAACTATGTAAAAAGTTGTACTGTATGTGCCTCAATGAAAAGAATCCCAGGGAAAACCACTGGGTTACTGCAACCTGTGGCAGACCCTTCTCAACCATGGGAAGAAATAGCTATGGACTTTATAGTAGACCTACCTGAAAGTAGAGGAAATACTGTCATCTGGACTGTAATAGACCTGTTCTCGAAACAGGCTCATTTCATTGCCTGCAAAGGACTCCCATCTGCCCAACGACTGACCAAATTGTTCCTGAAACATATCTACCGGCTGCATGGCGCCCCTAAGCGAATAATTTCGGACAGGGTTGCGCAGTTCACAGCGAAGTTTTGGAAGAGTTTTCTTAAATTAATTGGATCATCTCAAGGTCTATCATCTGCTTTTCATCCAGCCACCAATGGGGCTGCAGAATCCGCTAACAAAATGGTGGAGCAATATCTTAGATGCTACGTTTCTTACCAACAGATGAACTGGACTGACCTCCTCCCTTTCGCGGAGGTGGCGTACAATAATTCTGTGCACAGCAACACCGGCTACACGCCTTTCAGAGTGGCCACAGGAAAAGAGTTCAGCCCAATACCTGAATACCCTCAGGTGCCCTCCCCTTCCCAGACACTTGACCAATGGGTGAGGGGGTAGGAAGAAGTTTGGAGAAATACAAAAACTGCTTTAAAAGACTTTTGAAACCTATAAAAAGCAGGCTGATAGAAAGAGGGCTCCCAAAGAACATTCCAAGTTGGGGAAAAGGTTTATTTGTCAACTCAATATTTACGCCTCAAATTGCCCAGCAAGAAATTGGGACCAAAATTCTTGGGGTCTTTCCCCATAGTAAGGATCATCAATCCGGTCACCGTAGAACTAAAACTCCCTAGACTTTTAGGGAGAATTCACCCAGTCTTCCATTGCAGCTTGTTGAAACCTTATCGGGGCTCCACTTTAAGACCTCCTCCGAAGAAGGGACCTGGGCCCCTCGTAGTTGCAGGACAGTCCTACTATGAAGTGAAACGTATTCTTGACTCTAGAATTTTTAAAGGGAAATTGCAGTACCTAGTACAATGGAAGGGATACCCGTTGTCTGAAGCCACCTGGGTGAAATCCAGTGAGGTGAAAGCTGACAGACTCATCAAAAGGTTTCATGTGAAACACCCCAACAAACCAAAAAATAATCCTTAACATATGCTTTTGTTTACATTGCAGGGTCTGTCCTTTTTGTAAGGGGGGCCGGATGTCAAGGCTGCTAACATCAGATGTTCTTGCTTGACATATATGAAGAAGCAAACATGTTTTATTTAACCTGTGTATCACTTCTAGAGTAAAAGTCAGACAATGTTAGAAGAGAGGGGGGAAAGTATGTACTCGGGGGATAGTTAGCCACAACAATATTTCAGTACAGTATTTCCAAGGTCAGTTGTAACCAGAGGAGTTAAGGGAGGGAAAGTTCACACTTCAAACTAATTGGAGAACGTGATTGATGACTGTTAAATGAAGGAGTGAGTTATGCTTTGTTACGGGTGATTGGGGGAGGGAGGATTCAGTTTTGCTTCATTATGTACGTGCCGAAGCTATGTAGAAATAAAAGGATTCTTTAAGGTAAACAAGGCCTCAAAGTTCTTTGAAAAGCTTTTTCTTTCGGAACCATGACATTGACCACCCTTGTAATTAATGTTCAATGATGGAGATGTAAATTTAGGAGCAAAAATCCAGAGTCATTGTTATGTAACTATGTTAGGTGCTTCTAGTGGCCAATAAATTGAGAGATGCAAAAAGTGAAGGGTTCCAAAATGGGTCTTCCAAGAAAGAGTATATTCGGGGCTCTGTATGGGAAAACGCTCAACATTATTAAAAAAAAACCAATTGTAGTTATTTTTCTCCACTCTCTTCAGAATCGTCATTCCTTCTTTTCTTCCCTTCATTCCCTAACATTTCATTTCTCCACAGTAATAAATAGCTCAAAAGTCCCAAATTTCTGATAATTTGTTTATACGGTTCTTTTCTGTGCTGATAAAGGGACTGACGTTGAGTTCACCCCTTTGCACACTCCAGACAAATGTATGATTTTTCCTAGTGTGGTTCCATTGATGGTAATTGAGGTTACTTGACGAAGTGAAACATCTTCCACACTCCAAGCATTTATATGGTTTCTCCCCAGTGTGGATCATTTTATGAGTAGTAAGAGAACTTGAAACTGTGAAGCCCTTTCCACACTCCTGGCATTTATATGGTTTCTCCCCTGTATGAATCCTTGTATGGTAAGTAAGGTGTTTTGCACAACGGAAGCTCTTTCCGCATTCCTTGCATTCATACGGTTTTTCTCCGGTGTGGATTCTTTTATGGTAAGTGAAGGAACTTGAATTAGTGAAGAGTTTTCCACACTCTGTACATTTATATGGTTTCTCTCCGGTGTGCTTTTGGTTATGAACTTTATACTGATATTTTTCACTGAAGGTCTTTCCACACTCCTGGCATTTATATGGATTTTCCCCGGTGTGGATTTTTGTATGGTAATTGAGGTGACTTGAATTATTGCAGTGTTTTCCACACTTTGTACATTTATACGGTTTCTCTCCAGTGTGGATTCTGTTATGTACAGTATACTTATATTTTTGACTGAAGCTTTTTGCACAGTTCTTGCATTTGTAGGGTTTCTCTCTGGTGTGGATTATTTTGTGAGCAGCAAGAAAAGTTGAAGTTCTGAAGCCCTTTCCACACTCTGGGCATTTATATGGTTTCTCTCCAGTGTGGATTCTGTTATGTACAATATAGTGACATTTTTGTCTGAAGCTTTTTGCACAGTTCTTGCATTTGTAGGGTTTCTCTCCGGTGTGGATCGTTTTGTGAGCAGCAAGAGAAGTTGAAGTTCTGAAGCCCTTTCCACACTCCTGGCATTTATATGGTTTCTCCCCTGTATGAATCCTTGTATGGTAAGTAAGGTGTTTTGCACAACGGAAGCTCTTTCCGCATTCCTTGCATTCATACGGTTTTTCTCCGGTGTGGATTCTTTTATGGTAAGTGAAGGAACTTGAATTAGTGAGGAGTTTTCCACACTCTGTACATTTATATGGTTTCTCTCCGGTGTGTTTTTGGTTATGAACTTTATACTGATATTTTTCACTGAAGGTCTTTCCACACTTGGGGCATTCATATGGTTTCTCACCTGTGTGGC